TCCCAGTTCGACTCCCTGGAAGAAAAGAAACAAACCAAACCCTATTGGGGCCAGTGGGTCTCCCTATTGGGCCAGTGGGTCTCCCTATTTAAATACACCCCCATTTATAGAAGAATGGTGACTCAAAACGGTTCAAAAACCAAAGACCCCACATACATTGGATGAGCCGGTGGTTTGCAGTGTCAAATCTTCCGATGACCCATACCTTTGTCAACCACGGTCTTTTGCAAAATCTTCCGATGTGTCTTGCAAAAGCATGCACGACTTACTTTATGAAATGTCGTTTATCTACTGCTTGTGCCATCCACGTAATACTTCAATAATGTTTTTTCTGCTGTCCCTCCGGACAGGTGTCCGATATTTCCAACGCAGGGTTTGGAAACCTTCATGAACTGATGACGGTCTTGACGGTATGTTGATGAGGTATTTTCCAACCCCTTCTCCCACACGGGGGGTTCAGAAAGTGAATGAGGCATCTTAGGTATTGGTCTGTAGACCACTATAACATATTCCCTTACTGGTCAAACGAACTATGGTGGAAGCCTGAAAACGGTCCCTTCAGAGATGCTCCTACTCACCCTCAGGGCGACCTGGCTCCCACGGATTAGATGCGACATCCCAAAAAACGCGCGAAAAGCAGCTTGGTTTGAGGTTCAGACCTCCTTCAAGCTACAGCTACAGCTACAGTTGCTCAACGCCCTTCCAAAGGCCCAAAAAAAGGTCCCGACCGCGGGGCACCCGGTCATCCGCTGACAGGGTCCCCCCAAACACATCAAGTCATTGCTTCAAGATGATCCAACGAGTCCCTCAAACAAGGCCCTAACGTCCTGGAGGCACACCCAGGACGAATAAGGGGCATGGAAAGGGCTGATGTAACCAGATCTGGACCAAGGAGTAAAGGGCCCGAGACCAGACCAAATGCTGCCCTTGGACAGGTCTTTGCATCTTCAAGGTCTTTGCGTCTCTGACATCTCAATCCAAAGCCCGAAAGCCGCTTCAACCCGCCTGGCTTGCACATCAAGAAAACGGGTACTTGGCTCTTTGCGCCATGCGACCCACCCCAGTTCTCCACCACCTCCCGCTGTGTCGGTCGCTTCTCTCGCCGCTTCTCTCGCTGAGCCGCATGAGATCGAAGATGGGTTTGCACGGCTTGATGGCTTTGATGAAGCCTGGCAGACGACTTCGCGGTTCGGCGGAGCGACGTCGTTCGCGGACTTCGCAGACTTCGCGGTTTCGGTCCGACCCTCCGGCGCTGGAGAGTGGACGGTTCGTGACGAAGGGCAGAGAACCTGCGGTTTGGCCTCCAGTCCTGGGGTTTCTTGAGGGCTTAGATGTTAACACATTGGCCTTGAAGGGTGTGTGGCTTTTGAGGTGTTGGGAGCTGTTGGGAGGTGTTGGGTGTTGGTTTGGATGTGTTGCCATTGGTCCGCTCACCTCCTCCGGTGAACGAAGAAGCTGACAGCTGTTGGGGCTCCTGGATGTGGACCCATCCCCACGTTTTCGGCCCTCGTTCAACCTACGCCAGCATAGAACCCAGAGAGCCAAGCTCCTTAGGCTTCCAACCACCATTGATTGCAGAGTCTTTACCGAACCACCATTGTTTTTCTAAGGATTTTACACTACAAAACCAGGTCAACAATTATTCTAATGATCTTGGACGGCTAGGGATAAGATAGTGTGGGCAACAGCACACTGCAGCGGCACCTGCACTCAGGCTAAAAAAGAACACACAAGCACAAGATAGCACAAGCACCTCTTCCCATACTTGAAGCAAGATCCCCAATAGCTCTCTCCATCTGAGGAGCGATCGGACGCTACGAACGGGGCCGAAACTGGCATCGCTACGAACCGTCCGCGATCGGACGTCGCCAACTCCGCCCGTCGCCGTCGTGTCGCCCGCCAGTGTCGCCAGTCGCCCACTCCGCACAGGGCCGAGGAGCGAACGGTCACCTTCACTTGACGATTCAGGCCAGGATAAGCCTTGCATCCTGGCCCGGTCAGACCCCATCAGCGGAAAAGCATTGGATTCATGGCTTGCTGCAAGCGGAAAACCAGTGGCTTGAGCGAACCCTGTCGGATCTATAGTGCTTCGAGGCTTAAAGGGTCATCAACTGCTGGAGGTCGGGCCATCCTCAATCTTGGATCTAGTCCTTAGGTCACAAACTGCTGGAGGTCACCTTTCTTCAATCATTCTAGAGCACCAACAAAACCCCATCACCCCACCTCGATCAATATCAACCACCTCGTGCCACCTCGTGCGACCAACTCGTTCTTCCACGAAACAGCACGGTGTCTCGTTGTCTCTGGTCCCAGTGGTTCGTCCGATGGCGTGAGCTCGTCCGAATGGCATGAGTTCGATCCGCATCTGGTGGACTGGAGGTCCAATGGCGTGAGGATGGCGTGAGGTCCTCTCCCCATGAGTTCTCGAATGGATCCGAGGGATTTGGGCGAATAGATCCCCAAACAACCGGACCGGTTGAAACGATTGGACGAGCTACCAAATGCATCAAACTCTAGGTCGAATCATCAACCCTTTCTTTGGGCATCTACTGTGACGGGGCGAATGCAAGTCAAACCTTTCAACATCTGATGACTAGATGATTGCTGGAGGCCGCTCCGAACCTTCGGGTTTGCTGCTCTAGGAAAAAGATATTGCCCACTTCGTTACCCATTGGAAAAATGACACATCACCTTAAGCAAAAACCAGCTTATCATTCTCCAACCATGTTCAGTGCAATGGATCAAACAACCTTCGCTCACCTTCAGCAAAGTCCGTGCTCGTCAATTCTGGCCGGAAACTGGGGACCTCCAAACAAAAAAGAACTGGATTTCCCTAACATGGACTTCTTCTTGACCTTGCCAGAAGAATGGAGAGCACGACCCCTGCCCACCCACGACCCCCTCCGTCGCTCCTCGCCCCTCGAGGAGCTCCAGCAGTTGTGGGGCATCCTGCGAGAGAGACGGCACGGTGAGTAGTAAGAATGGATTAACATGGATACGCGGTGAGTGGAAAATCATGAATAACAAAATCAACATAGCAACATAGCAACAGGAGAATGCATTTACTACAAAATGTACAGTATGTTATTGTATATATACAGTAGTTACAACATGTGTCAAATGACCAAATCTATGGATAGCCTAGCCCCCAAAACATCTTTTACAGGCTAAAGGAACCCAGGGAGGAGCATCCTTATATGTTTCGAAAGGCCGCCCTCTTCGGACTCTTTCGAGTTGGTAAAAAGCCCCGAAAGAAACAGAAACTTCTCCAGAAACCTGGTCCTTTGATTGAAAACAAATTCAATAGAGGTAGTTTCTAATTGAAACGCACCAGAAACCACGAGTGTCCGAGTTTGGGGAGTCTTAAGAAGAAAGATCAGTAGCAAGACTTCTAGAAAGACCATGAAAGACCCATTATAACAATAAACATTCTCAACACCACATCATTACCAGCAAAAAAAAATCGCGCCCCTCCATCGCTTTCGAAGGTCGCCGGTCAATCAATCAACAACACGCCCCAAGTTCGCCACGCACGCGCCACGCGTTTGTCCCCAGTTCGCGCTCGCGCCCACGTTGCTCCGGTCTCCTTGGCAAAGGAGATCTTCCAGCGTTGCTCGATCTGCCGCAAGCAGCACCACTTCACCGCTTCGGACCTTGCAGCGCGCGGGGAGGACTGGACTCCTGGACCTGTCGTTCGGAGGTCGATCACGGGCGAACGGAGCGGAAACACCAAACGGGTGGGAGGGGGAGCCCCAAAAGGAATGAAAGATGTGCAGTATCAGGGGACCACACCCCCTGATGGATTGAAGGGTTGGAATCGGTTGGAAGGACACCCAATCCACCATGGGTGTCTTTTTGGCGAAGGAAAAATCACACGGCAAAACCAGGTCAAGCATTTGGGTCAATGGTCTCAGAAGGCGGGGGGGAAGGGTGGCTGACACTGAACACCTGACACAGAAAAACCGATGTGTGGGTTGTCTGAACGCCTAAGAGGCTGGAGACCCATCGCTCCGCCTTCTTGTTCCGGTCAAGGAGTCATGCCAAGAGCCGGCCAATGCCCACGAACTCCACGAACGCCACGAACCACGACCCGCGAGAGGGCAGTTCGGTGGAGAGAAGAACGACGGCAGCCAAAAAGAGGCTTACCTTGAACGATCTGAAAGAACCCCATCAGGTTGGTGCACTTGGATCCCCAAACACCCCAAAACCACCATTCTCCACCGCTCTACCCCGGACCCCCCCGGGTGCAGAAAAATTCGCAGAACGAAAGAGCGGCGCGCGCGCCGCGCGCGGTGCACTCGCCGGAGCGGTGTTCAGATGAGAGGCATGGAACTCCGAACCTCCCACATGCAGCCTTGCAAGAACCTCAGCACCGCTCCGCAAACACCCTCCGCTCCCCCGGCGGTCCAAAACCCGTTTGAAGCTCTTAAGCCTTGTTTGACCAAAAAGGGCCAACACATGAGCATTGACGGTGAAGGTGCGTGGTGGGAAAGAGCTTGGAGAAAGTGGATCTAAGCAGAAGCATAGGAGGTGTTTGTAATATAATATGTGTGTGTGTGTGCGTGTTTTCTTCCAATTGGAAGCAACGTTCTCTTGAAGGTTGCCAATGTTAGCCCAGGGGATCGATTCCAAAAATAATGCACTTCGTTGGCCACCTGTGGGGCTTCACAACGATCTGTGGCAAGTCCACGGAACGTTTTGGTTCAGAACCTGTCTTTTGACCACCTCTGGCTGACCTTCCCTTCATCCCTTTTGACCGCCTTAGCTCATCCCTTAGAATCCTTAGCGCACCAGTCACCGGCAGTGTCACCTGATCCCCCTCACCAGGCGGTGATTCATGGCAGCCATGGTTTCGGGGGACCCTAACTTTCCCACTCAAAAATCAGCCAGGAGGTCAACCTGGCACTCCAGGTGCCAATGACCCGCAACTGAAAATACCGGCCACCACCCCACTGGTGGGCCCTGACCTAGTGCTTCGCTTCAGCCTCGGTCCGGAGTGCTTAGCCGGGAGGCTCGAATTCATATTCGACGAAGGGAAGCACCACCAGTTCCTGGGGCCATCGGGCTGGATGGATGGACAGCACAACCCAACAATCGACCCGTGGATGAAAACAAACACACGGTCTTCTATCTTGGGGTCCTCACGGTGCCTTGCACTTGATGCCTGTAGATGAATCCCCATCAGCTCTCCTCTTCAGCCTTCAGCCTTCGTCAATCCCCTCCCCCCGCACCACTCCCCTCATCCCCGTGCCACGTGCCATGTGCACCGGACGCCAAACCGCGCCAGCCACCTGAAACCTCCGCGCGACGGCGGGGGTATCTCGGCGCCTTCTCGATGTCCGCAGCCATGCCCGAGTTGAAGAACTGCACCGGGAAGGCCCAGCGGCTGGAGGCCGCAGCGAAGCGCGCCACGTAGAGCAGCACGTGGGAGCTGAGCGGTCAGCGGTCGGAGGTCGGACGGAGAGGTCGGGGTTTCACGGCTCCGAGGCCAAAAGAAAAGGACATACCTAACGCCGCATGTCAAGATTGAAACATTGAATCTTGACAGTATCTGACAATCAATGTTGCCAGGAATGCATGGGTTGACATCATCGGCATGCTATATGTCTCATCTGCCTTCAACATGTTCTGAGCTTTGGCATTGAGGAGATTACCAAAAGTGAACGAATCGATAATATGTGTTCCATTGTGTTCCAACAAAGTCAGTAGCGTTTGCACTCAGTTTTGTTGATCATGCCACCATCACCAATATACATCAAATTGCACCTTGTAATCACGTGGTTGTGGGTCAAAACCAGGAGGGTGTGGCGCACTCCAGTAGGTTAACCTCCTGTAGGTCGCACATTCGGTTCTTCGTTCGTTCCCCTGGTGGATCGGATGAAGAAAAATGACCCACCACATCTCAGGGGCAACCACTTCACGGCCCCCCTAACGTGTCACATCTCATAGAAGTGGAGTGAAAACTTGTTTTGCTTGTAGAGGAACATCACCTTCCCAATGGTCCATGCCATCCACGATGTGACCTGTCAGAGTGGACCATCAGAATTTTCGCTGCGCAGCCCAGACTTGGCTACAAGTCAGGATCACATAGCCTGCGCCAACGTAGCACGTGAGAAGTACTTACATCTGTTCCTTCACAACGTAGCACGGTTCTGGAAGCCGTTTGCCCTCCCGACGCGCGCACCGCGGGTGGACCAAGCGGCTCTCCCCAGGCCAGTTGCGAAACGGAGGTGTTGCCGGTGGCCTCCACCGCATAGAAATCCAAGACCCACAGCACCTGTCGCGGGGCTTTTCGGTGGCGGAAGGCGTGGGGAAGCTGCAAGCTGCAAGCCGGACCAGCCCGCACAGCGCAGCTGGGTCAACCTGGAGATGTGACACATCAGTCTTTAACAAGCACTCCCCAACATCATTTCTCTAGCCTCATGTCTCACTGCGTCTCACGAGGGTTGGGAGTCTTGGATGGCAAAGGTCAAAAGAACTGCGGAGTGACACTGAAAGTGCTTAGCAACAACGTGACCATCAGATTTCCAAAACTGGATCCCTCCCGTGTGCGCGGAAAGAGCGTGGGATTGTAGATTGGTGTTTACAAGCTCTCATCACCTCACCCTGAAATCCCCAACTTGTTAATTTGCTTGCTTCACTAGGGTAGTGAAGCTTCGAAAATGACGCACCCAACTTCTTGTGCCAAGTCCCATCCATCCTGCCTTCAAATCGGCTTCATCCTTTCGATCTGTTCAATCTCTTCCCCCAAGAAAAGCATCCGAGATCCTTCCGAGCCCAGACCCGCAGAAGGAACCCCTCTCTACTGACTGCCAATAGCAGCAGCCGCTTCGCGCTCGACCCATCGCCACGGCCGGCGAACTCCGGGCGTTTCGAACTCCGAGCGACTCCTTCGACGCTGCGGGAGAAGGAGTTGAAGCTCCAGGTGTAGCACGCCTCGCGGCTCCAAAGCGGCGCGCCGCCGTGGCATCGGAACATCCGGACCAGACCGGTAGGGCGACCAGACCAGACCAGACCGGAGTAGAGAGGGTTGAGACAAAAGATGAGAAGGCAAGAAAACCTGGTGCTGCAGTTTCATGTTCATGAATCCCAGCTGCTGCAGTTTCTCCATTTCAGATCGAGTTCTCTATTTTGCTGCATCCGCCGAGAACTTCCGAGACACATGAACTATCCCACTAAGTCACTGTCACAATGATAAATCTGCTCATGAAGTTATGAATGACTCCAAGTTGGAGGTTCTCCTTGAAGAAGTGAGGAGTGTTCCTAGTCCTATGCCAGAATACGCACCAAACAGAGCATCCACAAGCTTACCCACTTGATGTTGACCATCAGGACGATGTTGACCAAGTGAAGGACCACTGGTTGGTGGGTCTGATCTTCACCATGGCACACAACACAGTAGGCACAATACAAAAACGATAGGACACGATTCGATGAGCATCTTCATACCTTCCAAACCAATAAGGGCCCTGCCGAGAAGTTGCTGTCTTTGGACTTGTTCCCCCCAAAAAAAAGAAATACGTAACAGTTTTTGGAGCTCAACAAAAAGGACCTTGGGTTTTTTCGGGGAAAAACGCACTTAAGCCCATGACATGTCTTTTGGACGGTCGTCTCGCATGAAGGACATGGTCCCGCGCCTTGTGTTCATCGATGCGTTTGGGCACCCAGATGCCTCGGAAGATCAGCGGGGAATGCTCGTCCACCTCCTGCGCGGGGTGGCCGGGCGCGGCCGAATCCGGTGGAGAAGGGGACATGGAATCTTCATCATCCGAAAAGGCACGTGCCTGACGGAATCTCACACTTCTCATCCTCACCATCAACTCACCAGACGGTTGAATCTTTCACTATTCCAAATGCACCATCAACCTTCTGGAGCTTTCTTGACTATTCACGCATCAATTCGTTCGACCTGTCTTGAGCTTTCAAACATCTGCTACAACCGTTCACACCTCCAAGCCTTCACACCCACTACCCAGTCTCTACCCATCGTTCCTTGACCTCAAAGATCTCGAGACCATCGCTGCGGCGCGCGGTGGCGCAAAAGGCATCCAGGCCTTGAGCGCCTGGCCGAGCTAGCTGAGCTAGCCGAGCTAGCCGAGCTGGTGAGGACACTCGCGGCGGCAGGGAGACATGGCCGCAGACGGCCCAAGCATTGCGGCATGTAGAGTCGGAGTGCCCAGCACATGGGGTTGGGCTTCTTCGATCTTGAAGGATCGGTAAATGGCGTATTGGGGGGTACAGATAAGCCAGCAAGGACCCCGCAATGGGGGAGGCTTTCTCACTGACTGAGTGTTCTTTCAAAGACACCCTGTTTTGAGGGGAGGAAGACATAGAAACAGCTTGCTTCACACGTCTGTGAACCTCATGGAGTGCGTTTCCCTAGTGCGCCTTCCTCACCTCACCCGGTCGATCGGAGGACCGATTCCACTCACTTGGGGTGACAGCTAGCTGACGTTCAAGGCCAGGTGTTCAAGGCGTTTTCACATCCAAAGAAGATGGCAGAGGTCAAATTGAGTCAGTCGGTTTTGAGCGACTTTTGGGCGACTCCCTGAGACAAGGGGTGTTTTGTGAAAGCCAAGGGCTCTCCTTCTTCCAGGAGGGACCGGGTCTCGCGAGACCACAAGTTGGCGTTCAAGACTCACCCAGAAATACACCGGTGCACACAGACGATTCCGTGCTGAAGATTGACGGTTTCGACCATTTGTCCGACCAAGGACTCGTGGTTTGGAGGGTCATGGACTGGTCAGCAGAGAGGCCTGGAAGAGTTGGCCTCCAAAGAAGGCCACGCAGGTTATGTCTCAAGCTGTTGATGCCAAGCACAGGCATCATGATCCACATCTTCTTGGCGAACAAGGACTCGACTCGATCATCTCTCACTCGCAGCTGCTAGACCCGGCCTGTGCCAGCACGTTTTCCAGTCAGCCTGGCTGCATGCAGGGCTTGTAAGGCGGCCAACATGGCATAGACCAACACCGAGTAGGGCAAGTCCTGCGCGGTGTGCGACTTGGAGGGCACAACTAGATTGTCTTTATCATCGGTGACAAAGCTGATGTGAATTTATTCTCTTAATGCTGCAGTGAAGTTGTCTTCCTGATTATCTTTGACTTTTGTAGACTGTTGATGTATGAAGGGATGTTATATAATCAAAAAACAAATCATCTGTCAACAGTCTACGGTCTCATGCCATTTCTTGCCACCCTACACACATGGAATTTCTCCCAGACACACATGGAGCCACTTCAAGAAGCTGATCACCGATCTTGTCACCTACTCTAACCGTGATTTTATCAGCAAAAATCTGAAGGAGCTCAGTTGTACCTGGCTCTCACCTGACTGTAACAAAGTTTCAATCCTTGCATATATATATATATATACATAGATAACAGCCTAGTTAGGCAGAATCTTGACATAGACACGTCAGATCCAGGTATTCCTTTCTCCAGGCGATTCCTGTCGGTTCGGTTTCCATTTTCACAACCTCTAACAAGTGTCATCTCAATTGTTTCCTCAACACCTTGACCGCGTGACCCGGCGCCAGGAAACGCCAGGAGACTCCGGCGCCAAAGCGCTCCTCCGCATCCAAGACTGCCCGGATGCTCTCGGCCTGCCGACCCCGATCCAAGTCCATCGCAGGCGATCAAGGCCCTCGAACGGACGATCGCAAGGCAGCGTGTTGATGGCGCGTTCGCAGGTGTTGTGAAACCATACTTGTTAAAAAAGATAATGCTGGTAACGCTTTTCGAGCATCACATCTACTTATAAAAACAAAAAAATTATCAACATGTATATACACCCAATATTTCATGTTGCTGAGTTGCTGGCAATCCGATACTATCTACAAAAATTAGAATCACTCAATATAACTCAACCCCAGCAAATTCTGGAGAATTTGGCACATCAAATACTACTGTCCATTGCCACAAACACACAAACACACACCACGGCCGCTGGCTCGGTTTGGTTTGATCCACCTCCACGGGTTTCTCCAACTGCTCGAGGCGCCGCAGGCGCCGCACCAGCTCGTACAGGTGGGGCGAGTCGGCCAGGTAGAGCCGCAAGGGCAAACCCACGAAGAGCAAGCCTGGCCGACGGGCGAGGGGTTGCCGCGCGGTTGGCGCGCGGTTGCACAGGAGCGAGCGCAAGCACGGGCGGAAGCGGAGTCGGGGGGTGAGAAACGGTTGGGGGGGGAGAAATGTTTGAGGGGGGGAGCGCGAACCCATGGGGCGGCGGGCAGGAAGCGCAGGCAGGTGCGAGGGAAGGGAGGCGGGGATGATATAGATTGCATATAGATTGCATATGGCGTACTGTATGTGCGCAACAGGTGCATCCTGCACGCAGGGGTTGAGAGAGATACTGAGTACTGAGTACGACGCGCACATGTGGGGAGGTCGGGCACTTGTGCGGACATGTACGTTGGAGACGGGGGGTGAGGCTTCAAGATGGAATGGGGGTGATTTTTCTGACCCTCAAACAGATAGGGTTTTGAGGGCCCGGACCCCTGCTATGGAGGGTCCGACCCCTGCCATGGAGAGCCCAAGGATTCTTAGGGTAGTAGCTGGTAGCTGCCCAAAACCTCCCACCCCACGCAATAGTATTTCCACAGCATAGGACCCACCAGGGACCGGCCCAGCAGGACCCGAGGACCAGACCTCCCCGCATACCCACATCCAGACCCAGCTCTCCTCGCTTCATGTGCATGAAGCCATCGAAGGGCGGCTCCTCGGTGGCCCCCAGCTGCTGCGCCATCTTCCGCGTCTCAGCGCCAAAGGAACCCTTGCGCAGCGTCCAATCGTAGCCCAAGTCCTTAGGTTGATCATCTTTGCTTAGGGAGATGCGAAAACCCCTTTTTGATGTGGTTGATTGGCAAGCGTTGGATGGAAAAGGACAGCTTTATTGCCCGTGTGTCTGGGCTTTATCGGTTGTTGCGTGGAAAACTACTTAGTGTACAAAGACCCCCCTTCAGCGCCACTTGCATCATCAGCGACTGTAAAATCTCGAACAAACTTGAGTAACAAGTTGCACATCTTCTTTTCACACCTAGCTCCATCTCCTCGCATGGCCCATGCCCCCACGTTCAAGTCAAGATGGAAGGCAACCATCTAGCCGTAGCCACTTCTCCACCACAACCTCAACATACCTCAAAATGATCCACCTTGATCCAAACAAGAACGCAAAGCTAGTCTCACTCATTAAACCCTGTTTTCACTCATCCAACCACTCATGTCCCATCACGCTCGTCCCAGTCGTTTCTCCGGTCGTCCCAGTCACCAGTCCCGAAAAAAATATAACAAAAATATAAACTCCAGTCCGGTCCAGGCGCCAAGTGCTTGGTGGCCACCACCACTTTCATTTCCATGCGCAGGATGATCTTCCGGAAATTCACCTTGGCTGCACCAGCCCACTCCCCCAGCCCGCGGCGTGTGTTTGCCTTTTTGGGGGGGAGAAAGGATTGGCTTTTTGGAAGGTGGATCTGCCGAAAAATCATCATCGTTACGTGGAGTTCACCACCTGTTTGGCATTCGGAAAATCATCATCCAAGGGGCCCTGTTCCGCTTCTATGATTCTTCCAGGGAGTGTAGCTGGGTGCATCCCAGTGTCTCTAAGAAGTGGCTTGGAGTCGCTTGCGGAACATCCGAGCTTGGCGCATCTGAGTCGCTTGGCGCATCTAATAAAGCTAGGCTAAGCGGTCTACCGGTCTACCCCCTTCCAAGGTTGGAGATAAGAATCAAGAGCTCCTACAAAAGGATTCTGATGGCACCTTCATGTCGGTTCATCCCTCTCAGCCCCATGGTGATGTTTCCCTCTTGTGGATCCTCACAAGCTGGGTCCTCACAGTTCAGTTCGCCCCAACGGACTCCGCCACGGACTCTTCGACCGGCGAGTGGAGGTGCGAGTGGAGGAGGTGGCCGGTCAGTCCAGGCGCCCCAACACTGGGGGGTCCCCCGAACAAGGTCGGAGGTTGGAAGGGTGTTCTGTGGCGAGCAATGAGGAACTCAGACGTGAAGCAACCCATCTGCAAACCACATCACCACATGATTTAGCATGTGGCTGTTCCGAAAAACATGAGCCTCGAAATGGGAGACTTGCGCACCAAAAACCACCCCTTGTCTGGAAGGTTGACCGAATCGGTGAGTTCGGTGATGGAATGCAGCTGGGTCACAGCTCTAGAATGATCGGCCGTCCACTGGATGAAGTGGTCTCTGAGCAATGGACCTGCATCCGTACACTCCGTGCAGACAGAGGCCCCAGAACACATCCGTGATCGACCAGGTGAGGAGAATGCAAGAGAATGCTAGAGATTGATCTGCTACTAGGTTGGAGGCCATTGCTATTTGGGCTGACCGGAGACACCTTCCGTGTCCATCAGTCCGGACATCGAGGCCGCTCTTCAACCCGAGGCCGCTCGATGAGGTCCGGAAGCTGCCAACGTTCGAGGAGTGAAAGGATGAAAGATCCAAAGTGCAGCCTGTCAGGCTTCTGAAACTCGGTGGATCATTCGATTCTCAACCCTTCGAACAAGAAACAGACCAACAAATACAACTACAGACCGGACTGGTATAGCAAAGACTTCTTGAGTGACCTTTCTTTTCGAACATCAAAGAAATCCTTTGGAAAATGATGATGTCCAGGAGGAGCACAAGTATTCACTCACTCACTGGTTTTATCCCACAAGCCCAGCCCGGTTTCCCCGGCCGCGCCCCGCCCCGCGCAGGGTCTCCAGGCTCGCCTGCGAACTCGTCCAAGCCATACTTCCTCCCGGCATGGTCTTTGGGCGTCCCCTCAATCAGACGCTGCCTCAGGACACGCCACTGTAGCACGCGGTCCCCGGGGTGAAAAGCACGCTCCACACACTGCAGCCTGCGCTGCTAACGGCTCATGTGGGGACCGCTGCGAAGAGTTCGAGTGACGTTGAACGGTCAAAGAACCAAAAGAGTTTGGACCAAAAACCTCGTTGGGGAAATGAGTCGATCCACTTTCTAAATAAAAAAGTCAAGTCCGACATTGGACTGTGGGATGTCTTTTCTTCAACCATTCTTTCCGTGTCAAGCTTGCGGAAGAGGAAGACGGCAGAATTGACCGGGACCTCTCAAGCTGACTTTTGTCAGATGAGAAATCTGCACAAGTCGCCCGCCGCCTGCGACGACAAGTCCAAGAGACATCCCGGATAGAAGTCCCAGAGACTTCGGTTTTTGGAAAGAATGGTATTAGTTGGATCTGACGATCTCCGCATCTGACGGTCTGGTACATGTTCTCTTTAGACTTCCGAGGAACTTCCTGTTGCAATGGATTCCTGGGCGCCTTTTCGCCACAAGGACGGGAGGCTATGCTCTTGGAGCAGCCCTGGCATCCTCCTCGAAAAGGCTCTTCTCCTTCCCATCCCCCAGCTGCTTGTAGCCTCCAGTTCCTGCGCGGGAACGCCGCACCCGTACTGTATGCCGTGGCAGTGGTTCTGATGGAAGCTGATGGAGTCGACGTTTCCATTCCCCAGACACTCCATGGGAGCCATACGTGCCTACATTGACCCCCAAAACCAACATATATGGCAGTCCCATTAGTCGTGTCTGGGTTCGCCAATCTGTACCAACCTTTTCCATGCCTTCTGCCACTCACAAGGGCCTTTCCGCTCCTGTGCTCCAGTGGTCCTTGTGCCAGGTGGCCCAAGTCAGGCAGAATCCTTCCGTCGGGCAGAATCCTCGGGACGCCTGCCCGGTGACGCTGATTTTTCCGCGTTGGAGCTGGAGCTGGTCGTGATCGAAGAGTGGCTGGTAGATCGGGGAAGCCATCTCCACCTCGTTCTTGATCCCACCCATTGCTCATGGGATTTCTCCAGGGCAGTCGACGAAAGCGCAACTCCGAAGCGAGCTCGATACGGTCAAAGGCGAAGATGCCGATGCGTGGCACCCAGCAGTCCATCCGACACCCATCTGCATCTCCTCCGCCACTGTCGCTGTCGCTCTTCTCCTGGATCACGCCCTGTTGTAGCACGAAACCTTGGGTGACCTTGACCTTCTCCAACTCATGGAAAGTGCGCAGCCGCTGGCTCATCCGCTTGGTCATTGGTCCCCGTACTTCACCTCTTGGTGTTAAACAAGGAGTCTGCGAAAAGAAAGAACGCTACATACCTGGACCTTGAACGGGGTGTCCCATGGAGATCGCTAGGTAGTGTAGGGGCTTGCATTGGTGACCCCCTTTGAAGGTGCTGGTACATTACCTGTAATTACGATAGACTGCCTTGAAAGAGATTCAAGATGAAAAGACATAAACGTTTACAGAATCCTAGTTCAAGCACACCCCAGGGTCCTTGTTGTCCATGTTGGGATTATACACGGTATACACGGTACAGCCAGGTTTCTGATGGATGTCTCCTTCCATGGATCCTCATGCTTGGTCGAAATGACCACATGCGGCAACACCACCAATCCGCTTGGAGAGGTATAACCCTCTGAAGGTGAGGTGTGGTATAACCATGGGGAGGCGAGGCCCTGCAGGTCCTTGTCACATTCCTCTTCTGGTCCAGGAGTTTGAGGAGAGGCCCTGCAGTTAGAAGCATCATTCTGTCTCTGACCTTCCGCTTGGAATCCCATTCTCGACCAGAGCAATCACCTCCAACCATGTGAAATGGAAATGATCAAATTTGATCCTTTTCTGGCAAAAGCATGGACAAATCATGGTGTGAAACGAAATAATCAAATGTTTCTGGCAAAAGCATCGAAAAGGAACGTCTCCAGGTGTTTTGAGCACCAACGACAACAACCTCACCCAGCCTCATCCCTCCCTCCCTCGCCATATCCTCCACTGCCAATGCGATGTTCCACCCGAATAGCCGAGGCACATGCCTTCCATCCAGCCCTTGCCCTCCAAAAATTCCTGCAGAACTGCTGGCAGAACGAAGCTGAAGCTGCAGCTCCCAGCCACTTCAGTGGATCCAACAAACCAGGTCGATTCCTCCAACGAAGTTGGTTTGTTGAGTTGGTAGAACCTGAGCATGGCCCCAGCCCCTGTCACCACCCGTCACTCATTTTTGGGTATAAGCAAAACGTGTAAGAGAGATGGAACAGTGGAACAAAGCCCCTGGTGGACATCTACCTTCAAGTAAATTGAGGCCACCCTGTTCTGGCGAAGCAGAAATTGCTCTTCCTGAAGGAGGCCGTGAGCGGTGTCTATTTTGGCTCCTGCTTCCACAGTCAATCAGACTTGGACCTCACAAATCACAAAGAGTCCAAGTGGTCCCATAATCCCTTCAAAGTGACTTGTTCCTTTGCTTGAAGACACCTTTTGCTTGGTTGGAGATCTCTATTTCAACCGTGTAAGCCTTTGGTTGAAGACGGCTTTCATTTCAAGGTCAACCAGTTGCAAAATCTATGCTTGAGCAGAAAAAGGAAGACATTCGTGGAACGGATCCCCATTCGCTCCACTTATATCAGTTCTGGATCCGTATCCTTCCAAGACCATCGAGAAAAACATGTCTGACCTGGTATGACTGGTATGACCTGGTTTTGTAAAGATCTTTAGTAAAGCCAAAAGCCTAAACATTGCTTCAACCTTGGGTAATTCCCATTCCCTGTAACAGTGGATGATGATGGGGTTCAGTTACAGACCTTCCTCAATGACAGTGTTCATCTTTTCTCCACCGTGACAAGTAGTGGGACACACCCAACATAAACCTACCACCACTCAAAGTAGTGGTCCTCGAAGCAACCCCCTTTTTCCAAAAAAATAACATCTCCACACCACTCATGATCTACTCCACTCTCCAAGGTCCTTGCTCTGCATCTCCTGCAACATCCGCACCAACTGCTCGGCGGTCCGGAGCCAGTGCCGGATCCTGGAACACCGGGTGGAGGGCCCACTGCAACATGTCTGGCTTTTCATCCATTTAAAAGACAAAACAGCCAAGCTAGGCAGAAAGCGGACATAGTGGCGTGATCCGTACGCATGTGAATTTGAGCCTCCGTCCTCCATCGCCTGTGTCAGAAGGAGCCACCTATTCGCTCCCGTTTCGCCTCTGTCGCCATCCACGACTAGCTGTTACGAAGGATTAGAACTTGCGATGTCATGTCTGATGAGAAGTGCGATGCCAACAGGAGGAAGGAAGGGGCGGGGGCTCGTGGCGAGAGCTCGGACGGGATACGAGGATTTGGGACGTTGGAAGTGCTAAGAATGACTGGAAGCATCTCAAGCATCAGGAGCTTATGTTGGTCAGACTACAAGTTCATTGGTGACTCTCGTGACAGTAGCAAGAATGATGGTTTCCTCATTTCGGGACATCCCTTTTCCACAGCTCGTGCGGTCGCGCTCCTCTGCTCGTGACGAGACATGCTCGGAGCTTCAGCGCTGGGAGTGGCACTGGGATTG